AAGACCTACATGTTCCAAGAGGAATTCCATACGCTGGAAAGGGCGATAGCGTATGCGGAACAAGAAGACTTCAGCCTGAGACAGTCTCAGGCTAACTCGTCCAACTATCGTCCGACGAGGCGACAGGAAACAGGAGGTCCCGAACCTATGGACCTCTGTTACATCGAGAGCAAGAACCCTCGGTCTCTAAGTCACAAGCGAACTGCAATATGCCATCGCTGTCGGAAGACTGGACACTACGCTCATGAGTGTAGTGTCCCGAGCACTGCAACACGTCCAAAGATAGGACGTGATGACCGCCGTTGGTCAAGGAAGGGTCCGAGGCGTGGGTCCGACCATGTCGCCAGCCGCGACAGCAAGTCGGACCGTAAAAAAAACGGTCAGGGTCAGTAGGGGCGGAGCACTCTGCTGATCCAGAAACGTCAAGAGAATTTGCAGGTCTCTTGACGAAGATTGCTCCCAACACGCAGTCGCTGTGTGTTACTGCCCCTAGTGATGAGGTGTCCCTCATCAATTTGAAGATCGAAGTGACAAGTGGAATGTCACTTCGCGCCCTAGTTGACTGTGGTGCGTCGAACTGTTTCATTCGACGCCAGTCGCTAGAAGGTAGTAGGTTCAACTACGTTGAGCGAGAGTTCCCTCCAACGAGGATGACGTTGCGCCTTGCTACAGGCGCATCCGTAACAGTGAACAAACGTGTAGTGGGAATCCACTACACGCTAGAATGAAAGCATTACGATGATGACTTTATCGCATTAGATTTGGATGAAAATTTGATGTCATCCTTGGTATACCATGGCTTATAAAGTACCGGCCATGGGTTAGCTAGCAGCATCGATCCGTGAAGATGCCTGCCGTTTGTTCATCGGATGGCCATCTGATGAACGTCTTGGAGCGTCCACAAGCGTGTGGATGTACTACGAGTGAGTGCGATGGCCTCACTTGTGGTAAGTTCGTTAGTACGATTGCACAAGATCACAGTGTAGAAGGCCACTACACTGTGGAACCAGCATCCGGCACCTGTGTAGAGACACAGGCTGCGCCGAAGGTTCACCAATCGAAGAGATCGAGTGGACGGGTACATGGATGCACACGAAGAAGGTCGCATCCGAGAAGAGAGGTTAGTGTTGTTCAGGATGGACAACACGTTAAAGCTCGACCGACTATCAGAGATTCGGTCGTAGAGCAAGCCCATTTGACTGAAAGAGATTCGATCGAAGAGGACGTTACGAAAGAAAATTCCGGCGTTCCTGAGAGCAATAACTCCCGAGAGAGTTATGTTGAGGGTGTGGATCCCCAACCACCTGCGGATGTGTTTTCCTAGGAAACAACCGAGTAAGTTAATGTCTTGGTGAATGAAGGATCAATTGTAGGCGCTTATACACTTAATCTGGTGACGCCCACGAAGTCAGCTTCGGAGGTGGTCAAGTTGCCAACGCTCAAATCTAAAAGATTCTTGCGTGATCTGCGTAGGGACAAGATCAAGCAGATCTGCGTACTCGTCACAGAGGGCGAGTACGTCGCCGAAACTTGATCAGCAAATTTGTTTACTTAGAACGAACGGGTTCTCAGTAGCTCATCTATGGACGAGAGTTTCCTCGATGAGAAGACCCGGATTGAGCGATACACGTCTTAATCTTGGGAGTCTCTAGAGACAAATCCTTTGTATAAGGATTTGGTGGAATTCAGGGATGTTTTCCCGGAATCCGTGCCATGCGATTTGCCCAAAGGCAAAGGCACTCGGCATGAGATCGAACTGAAACCTGGTTCGAAGTACTGTGTCATGAAGCAGTTTCTACTGCCTCGTGAACAGGTCACAGTGATCTCCAAATTCTTTGCCGACCGATTAGCGGCTGGTCATTTGAGGGAACCAACATCCCCACGTAGATCTCCAAACTTCTGTGTGCGAAAAGCCACAGGAGGGTGGCGGATAGTGCACGCGCTCAACAAATTGAACGCTGCAAACGGTACCGGCTCAAACGCCGATACCTAGGAAGGACGTCATCATAGATGATATGGCAAAGAGTACCATCTTTTCATCCATGGATGTGATGGATGGATTCTATCAGATTCTCATACGTGAACGAAACATCCTGTACACATCAGTGAGCCCCCCCAGTGGTATACTCTGGGAGTGGCTAGTGATGCCACAGGGGCTAAGTAACGTCCACGAAACGTTTAACAGATGTGTTACAAATCTGTTGCGATCGGTGCGCGACTTCGCACCGAGTTACTTCAACGATGTCTTAGTTCATAGCCAGGCTGTGGATGGAAAGACGGAGGTGTAGGTTCATAAATCCACGTCCAAAAGGTTCTTACACTAACGCGAGAGCATAAGTTGTTCGCGGACCTCAAGAAGTGTATACTCGCAGCAAGCGAACATACCACTTCTTGGCTGCATTGTGGGTAAAATAGGCGTGTGCCCTGATTCAGGAAAGATCAAGGCGACTATCGACTGGCCTGTACCAGTCGACATCAAGAGACTTTGAACGTATCTTGGCTTGGCGGCGTACTTGCACAAGTGCTCGCGCAACTACGCCGAGATGACCGTACAACCCTCTTGTTTGTCAAATAACAACGAGAGGTGGTCATGGAGTGCTGAGTGTCAGCACTCTTTTGAAGGTATCAAGAGAAACTTGATACAATCGAATGTGTTGGCGTTTGCAGACCATGACAGACCATTCCGTGTGGTCTGTGACGCCAGCGATTTTGCGATCGGCTGCTCGTTAATGCAGTACGACTCAGACGGCGTTGAGCGCGTCGTCTGTTATCAATCGCTTCAGCTGCAAGCAGCTGAGCGAAATTATCCGGTTCATGACGAGGAACTCCTTGCCATGAAATATGCACTGGCCAAGTTTCGGGTATATCTCTTAGGAGATAGACCCTTCATCGTTTATACCGACCATGCGTCGTTACGCACGGCCGTAAACAGTCCACACCTCTCGCAACGAATGGCGAGGTGGCTGTCTTTCTTCGAGGAGTACAACGTCTCCGTCGAGTATAGACCAGGACGACTTAATGTCGTCGCTGATGCTCTTTTGCGTCGGCCCGATTTCGAGCCGACAGCTCAACCCAACAGTAGGGGTGATTCCACTGTCGCGACACTAACAGCGAGTATCCGTTGTCGAATCTGCTCGATGACGTGCGAAAAGCCTACACAGAAGATGAGTCTCTTCTGCTATTTATAAATTAAGTCTTTAATCCATGCAGTCAAGCTTTGAAAAGCTTGTCGTCTCAATAATGCTCTTCAACCGAACGGTATTCGGTTCGTGATGAACTGCTGTACTATACAGCATTTAACGGCGACACACATCGTGTCTTCGTTCCCGCTAAGAATGATTTGCAATTGCGCATCATGTATGAGTGTCACGATGCCCCAACAAGTGGACATCTCGGTAGAGAAAAGACTTACCTCATGGTGAGTCGTGACTTCTACTGCCCCGCCAGTATGAGTTTGTGCGCAAATACGTTTGCGCTTGCGAAGTTTTCCAAAAGGTGAAGCCTAGTTTCTTGATTCCGCGCACCCTTTCATCCTCTACCGATTCCGGCAGAGTGTTGGCAGTCCGTATCGATGGACTTCGTCTTCGGGTTCCCCAAAGACGTTCACAAGAATACTGGTATTCTTGTGTTTGTTGATCGGTTCAGCAAGATGGAACATCTTGTTGCTGTACCGGAGTCGATCACAGCCCAGGGCTGTGCTCGTGTCTTTATCGATACTATCTTCCCACTTGACGGGTTACCCTGTGAACTCGTGTTTGATAGGGACCCCCGCTTCACAGCGGAGATCTGGCAATGCGTGTTCCGTTCACTTGGAACACGTTTGACGATGTCAACTTCTGACCATCCCGAAACAGATGGTCAAACGGAACGCGTCAAAAGCGTCCTCGAAGACATAATTCGAGGGTACGTCCACTCGTTTACGAGTTGGAGTGAGTTCTTGCCGATGGCGGAGTTCGGCATCAACAACTCGGTGCATGCGTAGACAACGCATACATCGTTCTTTGTGAATGGCCTACGCGATCCACGTTTACCCGCCTTCTAAGAGTGTGACTCTAGTTTAACAGAAGGGGTGGACTCGCTTGCACAAAACCCGATATGGTTCTTGCTCATCGCACGTTGACAATGGTGTCGGCGTGATGGTTGCCGATGTTGATGCGATCGACACCGATGACGATGATGACGACGATGCTGGTATGTTCAGCATCGCTAGCGACTGCCAAAGTAAGGACGATGGCACCCTCACTGGTGAAGACAACGTTCTTTCAGCAGTGCACACGAAGCGCACTGCTGTTGACAAGGATGAATCAGCAGAGGAATTTCTGCTGACTCGCGAAGCGGTTGTCCGCTTCGTTCAAGTTCAAAATGCAGATGCACTAGACAGACAGAAAAGAAACGCAGACAAACATGGAAGAGCAAATGTTCTTTCATATAATGCAGGAGACCTTTATTTAGCAATTATACCAAAATAACCTGCAGTGATTAACGTTTGCAGCAGTAAATTACTGCCCAAGTACATCGGTCCATTTCGTGTATTGCGCCGCATGGGCAATGCATACACGATTGAACTTCCTCGCGGGATCCGTACGCATTCTACGCTTTACGCTGAGCTTCTCCACCTGTATGATCAGTAAGAGCCTGTTTTGAGAGACGAAGAACACCCCCGCGGTCAAGAGCCGAGACCACCTTGGAGTGGTCCCGTTTCAACGAGCCAGTCTAATGGACTAGCGAAGCGACCTGCCCATGCAGTTGAGCTATATCCTGACGAGCTCCAGTCAGCTCGTCACGAAGAGAACGAACCGAATGTTCGTTATCAAGTTGCGCAAACACAAACGCGGCACGGTCTTTCGAACGACAGTGCGATAAGAAATCGTATGGTTCCTTCACAAGGTCACGAAGTTCGCAACGCCGATTCCGTTCATGAGTTAGGTCATCGTGTAACTGTTCCGTTACACAATTCAGCTCCTGAACATCAATCTGATCCGAACCTCGAGCCAGATCAGATGTTCCCACCGCCACCACATCCTTTGGTGGAATCAAGTGGTGGTCAACGCTTCCTAGTGGAGCGTATTTTGAACCACCGCGATGTGAATGGCGTCCGGACGAGTTACCTCGTCCGCTGGCGTGGCTATCCACCGGCGTGGGACGGCTGGGAGCCTCGTGCCCAGCTGATTGTCGATGTCATTCGTCTCGTCGAGCAGTACGACGAGACCCATTCGCTGCGTTTGAAGAAGGGCCGTCGGAAAACGACCACCGCGAACGCGAGTATAGGGATTGCAAAGTGTCGATCCCTACGGCCATCTCGGAAGAGATGCGCGACCTCCAGTAGGGAACAGGGAGGGAGGGGTAGGCCTCCCTAGCGGCACGGTTCGAGTTGTCCAGGCAACCTGGACACGAATCACCCCACGAGAGACAGGGTAATCCTGCCTCTCTTGAAAGCCGGTGCAACTTGTGTCGCGCCCCGACGGGGTTGCGTTTCTTAAACCAGATGCTAGCTGCATCAAGTTTGGCGAGCCAAGACTCACGGCCAATACACTCGATGTTGTGGATGAGGGCATCCCATCCCTGCACCAAGGCTTGCCGTCTCGTACATGGCTACCATTGTACCACCGATGTTTGAAGAACGCGTCGGTGAAGAACTCTTCCTCAGCACGGATAGTTTCCGTGCTGGAATCAGGAGGGCAAATCTTCCTGCAATCGAACAACGAAATTCGATCCCGTTCGGTAGTCGTGCCGGACGACCGGTCCAAATCTATAAATGGCGGCATCCATGGAGACTCCACTTGAGGAGTGTAGCGCAGGACAATTCGGTACCTGGCCTCTTGATTGGTGCCAGCATGAGCACTGGCACAAGTGTTACCCCAATCCCTTGAGTTGCTTCGCTCGTGGTGATGCATAGGTGCATCACCACCATCTCCACGCGTCCTTTCGTTGGATGGACTTGCGTGAGGCGGAGACTCATCGGATCACTCGATCCGAAGATCTCGGTCATGATGCTGCCGCGCTGACCAAAGCCAGTCAGCCTGGCTTTTGCAGTGTCCGCCCCTGGTGATCCCGAGGCGTGAGGAGTCGCCTTGAAGTCGGATGCATCATCCGACTCGCCAGAATAGATGAGCTCCATCTCAGAATCGTCTTGACTACGACTCGAGGTACCCTCTGCAGAAGCAACGGATGTACCTGTCGCACGTGGTGATTCACCACGTGGAGGATTCACGACAAGAGGCGACGAATCGCCTGCTGCTAGGGTGTGAGAGGCACTTTCCGCTGCCTCACGCATGCGTGCAGCTGCTCTTCTTGCTGCTGCAGTAGCAGCTCGCGTGGTTTTTGAAACCATGCGTTAAATTGGCAAATGAATGAAATTTGAAAACCAGGTGCTCCCTTTCCCACAGTGATCCAACGGTGGTCACCCTGTCCCAATCAATTCTAATTCAATCAACGGGTGATTGATGGTTAAGGGGAGTGGGCGTGATGTAGCGGGGTAGCCCGTTACATGAAATTGACACCAAACGGTGTCGATAGAAAGATTGTCTAGCGTGACAGTATATTACCGATATTATCCGAGATGGGTAACTTTGAAGGAATATTATCCCCTTTTGGATTATATCCATTTGCTGCTTTTAGATTGAATGATAAAAGACTTATCAACCATAGATTGACACCAATCGCAGCTGGACGCGCGCAATGAGTGGTGAGCAGGTTGTCGTCATACGACGGCGTAGTTTAATTTAGTTAGATAAAGATTAAAGTTATATTGATAGCTTAACTATGTTACATACAGTTCTCTTTTTACCTTTACTTGATCGAGTCGTTCAAGTAGTTAAGCTTCCTCTGCATGTACTAGTGTTCGTGAAGTTTCGTGGCATTCAAACAACGGGTGCCCCGTTACAGTTTACAACTCAAGGACTCGTTTGATTGTTTTTGCCGAAGGTGCATCATCGAAAGGAGATGTAGCGGAGTTACCACAGCTCTTAAGGGCAGAGGGATACTTTACAGGTTAAGAAAGAGGCTTACGGCTAACAGCCAATTAGTTGTGAGGGCTAGTAGCCAATCAGTTTAAAGGAAATAACAAATTAAGTTAAAAGTCGGCTAATTCTTCGGAACAAGCGCGGACTTTATAAGCTATTAGCTCAGACTACTGCAGTTCTAAGGAACTTCAAGCACAATGTGCAAGAGAAATACAGGATATCCAAGGACTCTCTAATCCACGACAGTTCTACACAACTGTCAAGCGCAACGTGCCTAAGGGGGAAGTCTACGGACTTCCGCTCAAAATGAGAACTGATTTATTTTAGATTTTAGATCTGGGAAATCCTGCTTTAAGTACTCCATATTCTACTAAACTAGAACTATTACAAATGTTAGCATTCGAACTAAGTGGATGGTTGGCACATCACTCAGTCATCAAATGAAGACGGTACAAAATACATCCACGGTAACTACCGTAACTCTCATAATACCGACTAAACGGTATTATCTATTACATAATATCTAAGGACACACTTTTCTACCATATCACATATGGTAGGTCTCCAATCGATTCAGCTTATAACTAGTGTGACACCGTTATGAAATATCTTGGTTCATCGTCTTGTTTCACTATTGCCTTCTCATGCTGTGGTACCCTTCGTGCACACGGAGGCGCTTAATGTTTGCAGATGTGGTAGTTTAAAAATTAGATGTAGAGTGATCAATGATCCCGTCCTGCGGTGTGCTGCGTGAAATGCTAATTCTGCTGTATCCTGCGCGGAACAGAACCTTAGTCATAATAGTATGGAAGTGAACGTTTTTGCGCAAAACTGTCGTTTGCTAAAAATTGTTCCCGGCACTTCACAGAAAGCAAGCATTTCATTAGAACTGCAGACATGAGTGAGTGAGAGTGAATAACTGCAAGACCAATGTACCGACCCAGCGGAAACTACTATCTGCATCATCGACTAAAAATATATGCTGGAAATCGAGAACGTAGCAGCAGCCCTGAACGTACCTATGAGAAGAGGTGTAGGCTGTAATGGAACGACCTTTGCTTGGCGTGCCACGAAACTTCACGAACACTAGTACGTGCAGAGGAAGCTTAACTACTCGAACAACTATGTTAAGTTAAGATAAAAAGAGAATTGTATGTAACATAGTTAAGCTATCAATGTAACTTTAATCTTTATCTAACTAAATTAAACTACATTGTCGTATGACGACAACCTGCTCACCACTCATTACGCGCTTCTAGCAACGATTGGTGGTAATCTTGGTTGACAAGTCTTTTATCATTCAATCTAAAAGCAGAAAATGGATATAATCCAAAAGGGGATAATATTCCTTCAAAGTTACCCATCTCGGATAATATCGGTAATATACTGTCACACTAGACAATCTTTCTATTGACACCGTTTGGTGTCAATTTCATGTAACGGGCTACCCAGTTACATCACGCCCACTCCCCTTAACCATCAATCACCCGTTGATTGAATTAGATTTGATTGGGACAGGGTGACCACCGTTGACATTCTCTGGGAAGGGGAACATTTGTTGGTCGAATCCTAACTCATTTGCCAATTCATCGCATGGTGTCAAAGTCCATGCGACGTGCTGCCAAAGCAGCAAGAAAAGCGGTTGCACGCATGCGTGCAGCCGAGAATGGTCCTTCTCTTGCTTCAGCAGCAGGTGATGCTTCGCCTGCTGTTGCGATTCAGCAACAGGCGGTGCCTGTTGCGAACAGTCCACGTGGTGAGTCACCTCGTGCGACAGATACATCCGCTGCGTCTGTGGCGGGTGCTGCGACTCGCAATGTAGATGATCTTGAAATAGAGCTCATCAATTCTGGCGAGTCGGACGATGCATCCGACTCGAAGGCGACACCTCACGCCTCCGGATCATCCAAGGCGGATACTGCAAGAGTCAGATGATTTGGCTCTCGGGAACGTGGCGGCATAGTGTCCGAGATCTTCGGACCGAGCGATTTACTGAGGATCTTCGTCTCACGCAAGAGTATCCGACGACAGGACGCGTGGTGATGGTGTTGATGCTCCTTTGTATCACCACAAGAGAAGCAACTCGAGAGATCGACCTGCCACTGGTGTCAGTCACGAGCACTGACACCACTCAAGAGGCCAGGGACCGCAATTTCCTGCGCCATGCTTCTCAAGTGGAGTGTCCTAGGATGCCGTCATCCAAAGAGCCAGATCGAGTGGTTAGAATGACCACCTGACGGGATAGAATCCCGTTGTTCTACTTTGGGAGGATCTGTCCTCCTAATTCCAGCACGGAACCTATCCGTGCTGAGGAAGAGTTCTTCACCGATGTGTTTTTCAAGCACCGGTGGTACAATGGCAATTGTTGTCGAGATGGTAAGGCCTTGGTGCAAGGATGGAATGACTTCATCCATAACATCGGAGTGTATTGGCCGTGAGGCCTGGCTCGGTAAGCTTGATCCAACTTGTATCTGGTTCAAAAGCGTACCCCAGTCGGTGTACGATGCAAGTTGCACCGACTATCAAGAGAGGCAGGGTTACCCTGACTCTCGTGGGGCGACCCGTGTCCAGGTTGTCTGGACAACTTGAAACATGCCCCTAGAGAGGCATAACCCTCCCTCCCTGTTCCCTACTTGAGGGCGCGCATCTCTTTTGAGATGGCCGAAAGGATTGACACTCTGCAATGCCTATACGCACGGTCGTTCTGGTCGTTTTCCGACTGCCCTTCTTTGAAAGCAGTGGTTGGGTCTCGTAATATTGCTCGACGTGACCCAGGGCATCAACAATCAGCTGAGCATGAGGCTCCCAGCTGTCCCAAGCCGGTGGATAGCAGTTGCTTAAGTGATAGTCACAATAAACGGAGATGCTCAAGTTAGACTGACCTTTCACTTGTTATGCTAAAAATACTCAGTTTGTAATATCAGAGTAGTTTTCTTAGTAATTAGTATTAGGGCATTTTTACCTTGAAGGAGTATTCGCTCGTGTATCACTGAGATTAACTCTTACTTGCGCAAGATTTCAGTCTTCTGTTGTACCTCGTTGAAAAGATCGGCAGTGCCAGCAACTTGATTTGACGAAAAACATTACCATGATTCATCGCGGTGCGTGCCCATGGTCGTGCATCACGTAGCGGTGCTTCGGCAATTTGTGCGCGCTTTTTCAAGGTCTCATCTTGCAGTTCCAGATTAAGCTCCCGTTGATGCTCATTTTGTGGTCCTACACCGCGCAACGATGACCAAGATCAGCACGGTAATGAATAGATCAATACAATACCGTTATGACTAAACTTGTATCGCACGCCTCTCGTGATCGCGACGCGAGCGAATGCGCTCCAAAAATATGAAAATTGTAGGAAGAATCAGTCTAACCACTCACAAACGCAAACATCGTTGCCCTTAAGTGCGATGGAGTAATTTTGCCGCTCTATAGGCGTCGACTTTGGAACGTAAAGTGCAAGATTGTGCGCATCGATGAACTGATAGCTTGAACTCTGCACACGTTGAATCTTTGTATTCACAAACCTTTGCGCGAAAGACCACAACTGAACAAACGCGAGCTGAACTCATTGATGGAAATGACGTGTTACAAACAGGTTATGCTGATATCGTTCCCTATATGCCCAATAATTAGCCAATTATGCAGTGTTATCTCAAGCTGAGGGTTCTAGCTAGAAAGCTGAAGGAAGATAAACAAACTTCCTATCATCATCATTAACATGCATTTGAATCCTGTCCGTATTGATCACTTGAATAACAGTTCGCTCAGCATTCGACAGTGTGGCCGCTGGACGCGACTAGGATTGTATTTGACAGGAAATTTGTGGCATCATTCACATTCAGACAAATGATCATTCTTACTTAGACATCTCCATACAATACACAGGTCGCTGTAGCATGGACGTTGTTGCCGCGCACAGAAACTTTCCTAGAACGAGTAATCAATCCTCATCAAGTAGCCTTCCTTCCTCCTACAGTCTCCCAAATCTGTCTACGACACGCTTGGGAGAGCCTTCCAGGCGAGTAGCAAAAATGTGCAGTTGTTGAGGGCCATGATTAGAGGATGGGCGACGGGAACGGTAGAAATAGCACCAATCAATGAGAGCGTCCGTCTTTGGTATAATATATGAGGTACCGAGTCAGATGCGAAGAGTGCAGGCTCACCTGGCGCGTTCTCTTTATCGATCGTATTTACATCTTGGCAAATTGGTTGCACGAGCTATAACAATGTTTGTAAGAAGCATTTATGGTTACTACCGTCGACACTACGAAAGCGTCGGATCAAATCAATCTTGACGCACTAAGGAGAATTTTAAGAAGAGCTTTTCCAGCTACACTTTGAAATTGTTAAATGGCGGTCTGAATCCAGTGAATTTATGCAATTACACAGGGTACAAAAAGTACTTTGCGTCGTCGCTCATTCTGTGCTTGAAGTGTCACTAGGTTGGACAACTCGAACGTCCTAGCATGTGGGCTTTGGTATATCCACTACTTAAAAGTTTACATCCTGCTCAAAGAAGGTTCACCGCTTAGATAAGCTGCTATGGACGGAGGAATACATTTGGAAGTGTATGGTGCGGCTGGCTGTATTACTTTGCATGCAGTTTTAATTTCCCTGATATTGATCATGACGATGAAGTCGGTTTTGCGAGGTGTATTATCCTAACACGACTGACGAATGTAAGCTCGATAGTGCCAAGCGTCAACGTAACCACGTCACTCTACGAATAACCATACAACAACTTCAGCTCAAAGTTGGTGAGACACGATTTGTACAGGCAGACCAATCGACAGGTGTTCCCAAAGCTTTACACACTGTTGCACACTCCTGTTTAACATTTGCGCCAACCGCACCCACAAAAATTGTAGCAACAGTGCCGCGATAACCAGTAACAAGTAATCTACTCTTACCCGTCAGACTCACGGTAGGTGTACACGGAGGCAACTCATGCAGTGTCTGTAGTCCGAAACTGAGTCACCCCCATTCCACGCGCAAGTTCCCGCAGCTCCTTCATCTTTGAAGCGAAAAACTTCACGTCTACGAAATACTGCCTCCTTGCTCGTGCCCCCATCTTCTCACGTTCAGCCGGGGTCATAGCAAGCACCTTTTCGACAGCCTGGCATACACCAAAACCCTTCACGATTCCAGCGTACCCCTCAACCCCTTTCAAGCCATGCTCCCCCTCAAACTTGCCTCCAAAAATCTGCTCCTTACGCGCTTGGCGCTTGGCGCTTCACTGTAATGAGCACACCAGACGCGGGAGTCAACAGCTCGTTCATGGGCGGCAAGTTAGTCGACACAATGAGACCGCCACTAGCACGCGCCTGGTTTATGTAGTGGCCGTAACCCTCCATTTTGCTCGGGCACATGAAAAAGGCCGATTCTGCAATCAATTTGCCGAACTCATTAGCAGAAACGTGACCTGGATGAATGGTAAGCACTTGCGAGTCTCGAGTTCGATTTTGATATCGAGCCTTCCACACGAAGTTGTAGAATTTCTCGTAAACGTACACATCCAAGGGAGGAAAGTCTGGGCGACTGAGCCAGCACTCTAACACAGCTTCGGTTCCCTTATAGGGGCTACGGCCGACACTATGGATAAAATGCACATCCGACCAGTTCTTTGGCTTGATTGCATCCTCGCCAAGCCGCGCGCTCGCCAACGTTGCAATATCTGACGTCGTGTGCCTCGTGTACAGCACTTTCGTATGACGCGGATTGCCCTCCTGCTGATACCACATTTGTACAAAACGAGCACAGATGGCCGTCTTGCAAAGCACGACGTCCACAGCCCAATAGTGTTCAGCCCTCATCTCATACATTTCAATGTTCGGCATGAGATACACCGGTTTACTCTTAGGCCAATTCAGCGACCCCGGCGAGTCATCCCAGTAGTGACTAAAAAAGATCACGGGCGTCTTCGGACACAAGTCGTGGTACGAGAACGTCTCATTCGTTGTGTTGTCCACGTACTTCATTGTGATTGCCCACGCCGGAAGGATCCGCGACTCTAAAACTACATGACCAGAAAACAAACATCAGTTGGTAACTCAGAACCAACTGAAAATAAATCTGGACTAGATTACCACAGCAGTAGCTTACACTTCATGTAGGCAGCCGAGTCTTCGCAGTAGCCGTGGTTTCGGAATCTCCCGGGCATATAGACGTCCACATCTGGACACTGACGCATTTTGTCCAGTAACTGATCATCGTCCTTGTTTATAATGCCACGACTCGCGTTTGACAGCACGTCGTCTAGTCCGTATTTCCACGTCACGACACTCTCCTTTGATGTTCAGGCACGCTTCTTGCAAAAAGCTGAGGTGCAGCAAATCAACAGCTGATCCAACGTCGTCTCCCAATTCGGAATCGAGGATTTCATCCGGATAAAAGTCAGCCCCCTCGTCCATCTTGGCATTCAGATACTCCACCGGCACGATGCTGTTCTTGTTGAGCATGCTCACATTCAACAACAGCAGCGCAATTCCTGCGCCTACCAAACCCAGCAACATCTTGATCATCAAGGTCAAGCGGCATCGCCTACTCTGCGCAGGAAAAGCGTTACGAAACTCGGGCTTTTTATCCATCCAAGTCGGAGAGCTACGAAGTAATCGCCTTTGTGGACACTTTCAGTTGGACAGATCCAGTGTGGATAATTTTTAAGCTTTTATCTTTCTATTCATTGTAAACATTAAAGAAACATTGGTGCGATCATTTAGGGCTGACGTTGCAATGGTAAAAATGCGGGCCTAACCGAAGATGGCGCAGCGTATGTGAGATAAAAGGACTGAGCGAACGAACGTTCTGTGGGTGTACAAATTACGAATGCGCTAATTTTGTAGTTTTTATCTACACAAGCACAAAGTACAATAGGTTCTTGATGATGAGACTTACATAGGCAATGTTGTACATTTAGCTCCTGGATATGCAGTCTAATAGCGGCATGCACAATAAATACGGTGCATCTAACGCAAAAATAGAGCTGACCGTCGAAACAGCATGCTACGTGATCAGTCGTTTGACACTCGTAATAGTTTTAGAAAGTTTATATATTCACTCACATCCCATTTCCTTCGTTTAGCGCCGTGCCTGTCAAACCCGATACTCACATTCTTGTCACTTATTTTGTTGCTCATTATATAATTACTTCTTGTATAGATTTTATCACTGAAAACACACATCATAGACACAAGTCTTTCAAGACAAATTTTTACTTGATAAGCACATTGTCTATATCGTAAAGGGAATCGTTATGCAGCGACTGTAATGATTGCCTCCGATTCATGACAATTTACATGAGGTAATTATCGAGTATGAATATTAAGTCAGGATGGATAATTTTCTCACAATGTTATCCTAATTTTGGATAGTATTGCTTTGCAGATGCAATATACTGCTCATGGTGGAAATTGGACCAATATTTATAGCTATAAAGTCCAGCCACGACAGAAGCACGCAATGAGTGTCGAATAGATAGTTACAGTACATGTTTGCATTTCGACAAAGTTAAATGAAGCCGAATAGAGATTGTTTAACGGATACATTATACCAAATAAAGTTCGACTTTTTACCTTTGATGAGTATTTTTTACTCCGTGCATAAACATTCCTCTGCACGTCCGTGTACGTGCGGTGGTCGGACGCACACACCCTTGCACTGTCAGCAGTGCAAGGTGTATTCAGTTAGCTAAATAAGGTGTGCCCTGTAACATCTACTACCCGTTCAATAAAAATCAACCACCAGCCAAAAGATTCAATTAATATTTGGGAGTTGTTATAATCACCCCCTCTTTAATTAAATTCACTCCCTTGCCTTTTAACAAGTAAGCATTTAAACAGCGAATTCTGAGTAGTGAAAGTACGTGTAGAATTTTCTATTTGGAATACCACAAATTACAGTACTAACCTGCTTAAACGGGAAGTCACGAGATTGCATACACCTCACAAACGTACCTGTTATGAAAGTCGACCGCAAATTTTTCACCTCTGGCCTTAATCCATATGACATGCTAGGTCAATAAAACTTATCGTTTTGCACTCGCGTTAAATGTGACATGGAATCGGCCCGGTCTGCAAACACATACTAAACTTGTTACAAGATGAATGGATGCCACAGCGGCTCTCGATTTCTGCGGAGGTTAACGCCAGCCAAAGTATTAAAAAACGCTATTTATCCATCATCTCTATTCTTATTGTCCCTCAATCCCAAGATTTTTAAAAATATGATTAGTTGGAATGTTTTGCACTCTTTTTTGCAGTAGAATTGGGACATCGATCATAAAAATCCTATTATTTACTAAATTACAATGAACAGCCTTGCACCATCTTCGCAACTTGCTGATGATTCCTAAAACAAGCAAGAGTTGCTATTAACCACATGCACAGCAGGAGGGCCATGATGTTGCAATTATAAATACAGGAAGGATCGGCAATAGGAAAGAAGGTGACGTCAAAGATGTTCATCTTGTCTGCTCCCGATTACGCTTCCCATCCATACATCAGGACCTCGCCATCGTATTTTGTCCAGCAGGTGAATCAGTTGCTTGCTCAATGCAATTGTACGGCGACTAGAGATTGGAGATTGGAAGGTCTAGTTAGCCAATGTGGAACACAATCATGAGCCCTTCACCCACAAGGCTGCCCATCCGCAAGGGCACTATTTATTATGACAAAATCGTTAATCAGTCTTGTCCTCAACCCGCGTTAGTGGTCAATCCAGCCACGTTATCGTTTAACTGCGGCAGAACAGCGATGTCACGATTACAACTCGAGACATCTCAACCTACGCGATTCAGAACGTCGCAGAATGATGTATGGACTATAACCTGTTACATAATCTCGTAAATTCTTTACCTCCTAACAGATACTTCAATTAGTTAATGCACATCAACATCTAACTCACCCACCATATTAGCAACTGTAAAGGAAATTTGCAGCAGGTACAGTGTTGGATCGGTATGGCCAACTGATGCGACCTAAAAGACCATCAGTTATGGACTTCCTCTTCTCCATATCGTTGACTTATCAGCAACAAGCTGCCCATTTACGTTTGCATACTGTTTAAAGCAAGTTGAAAATGTGATGGAAAACTTGTGGGCATTGCGCCATTCAAGAGAGTTTTCTTTTAAATTATCATATACAAGCTGAGCTCTCTTTAGCCACAACGCGCTCAAGCAGACGTTTTTCACTGCAGCTTGCTTGCTCCTCCGGTGGCATATCAGCAAAATGTATTTTTGCTAAGCAAAAAAAATATTTTTAACACTAGATGCCAGGAATAATTCGCCTCAGCTTGAAAAGCGCTTTTTGCTTCCACAATCATAGTGGATTATGAGTCGAAACTTGCACCAGTGCATGTTGCATTCCTTTTCGTCTTGATGCGCTACATTAATTTTGCTTTGCTTGTGTACAAAGAGAAGTTTAATTTTGTTTGCTTTAGAAATAAAAGCCATTTTGGCCATGTTACAACGTCGCGTGTGAAGAGTGCTTACGGCGCTCTTAAAACGTGGGTATCTATATTAACCGGCAAGGTTGTAAAATTTGAGCTCTTGAAATTGTAACAATTTTTTTGCTGACAAGTGCTTTTCAAAGGTGACCTTTTATCAGTGGAATCAGCGGTTCGTCTTGCTTGCGAAGGTCAGCTTGCCGTTATTATGCCGCAATATGCAAAGCAGCATGCCTTTACCAATACACACTTTAGACCAATGTTTTCAGAAGTGATTGATAAGATATCTGTAGCAAGTCTAAAGGAAGCTTGTACGCAGTAATAAGAGCGGCTTCTCGAAAACGGGAATTGTCGAGGTATGTATGCTGTAACTGACGTGCCATTGACTGTGACTAACCTTGATTGCCGATTTTCGTTGTGCATAGATCCACGATATAACATACATGCGCTCATGAGTTTCGTAGCTGAGTGGTAACTACCGTCGGTAAAGTATTTTGATTAGCATTGGCGGCTGGTTCAGTCAAACTAGATGCATGTTAAGGATAGGAAAGTTGAAATGAATGAATGACTAAATGAAATTACAGAAGAACTGCGATAATGTTCCAAATGCCCTTAGCGTTGGCAACTAAAACATGTCTTATCAGTCGTAGTAGCCGGTATTCAAAATTTTGTAAAAGCATAGAATCGTGTTCGACCAATTGGTTTAACACGGCAACTTGCATTACATTTCGAGCATGTTGACGCTACGTTGGAAGCTTCTGTGTGACGCCGGCAATGTCGGACTTTCCAGCAAACAGTTAACAATGCTTATTCCTGTCGTCATCAGGCACAATAAGCAGCTTTTCCGACAAGAGCAGCACCACCAGCAATTACAGCACCAGCAGCAACAAAAGTAGATTCATAATAACTAGACTGTAAGAATTTAATCCGTAAAAAAAGTAATCTGTTCTATGCATCAGTGTAATCACATTGATCACAATGATAATACGCGGCTGTCTACCTCCCTAGTAGTTCTGACAGAATTTTGTTTATTGCTTGCCAGCACATGGTCACGTACACGATTTAATTAAGACAGGGATGTTTGGGCTGCGCAGCTGCTACACCTCCGCCTTATTCTTATATAAGTGCCAAGCCCCTGTTCATAGCTTACAAAATAGGCATTTGCACCATCAGCGTCCCGCTCAGCAAAATTCCCACATCGAAAACTTGCAATCTGCACAGGGTCCCTCGTATCCTATATTGTGTTAAAACAAGCGTGCAACCAATGCAGCCAAGTTTCAGGGCCAACATGATGAGCGCCAACTAGTCCGTGTGGCCCTCTTCAAACTTGAGCATAATATATGCAATGGCAACCAGTACACACCATTAGTGGATTTTCGTCAATGTTCCGTTGCCGAAATAACCTCCAATTTTTTTAAGTAAGATTTACCTGCAATATACGATCCATGATATACACGGACGACTCGTGCATACCATCAGCCACTGGATCTCTTCGGTAATCACGAAGCATACATAATGACAAATTGGTCAAACGTTACACACAGTTACCTAGATTAGTCATGAATTTTAGGCTTGAATAATATGGTACTGACATTTTATATCAATATCCTCCAGCTTGTGATTTATCATTTCGGCCACATTATATAATTCGTGTGAAATTTAAGTAACCTTTCTGCTGATATTTCAATGTCAATATATGCCCGCATCTTCTTCATCGATAACGCCCATGTCGTCTTCGTGGTCTTATTTTTTCTTTTTTGTATTTTTTGTTGTGTTGGTACTTTCATTTAGTCGTTGAATGCGTTTCGAAGCTGCGTGTAATCATCTTGTCTATCAAGTATTCGTAGTGGAGTTCGCTCTTTAGAATGTAGTATTGTGGCCTTAACATACTTTCTATATCGAGAGAATAGTAAAGAAGTATACTACCGCTAGCCATAGACGATTTCTTAACCATGTAAATATGTTACAAGGGGCCGCTGGACCACCGGGCGATACCGTACAGTCTTACCAAGGATTCTGCTAGTGAAACGATTTAGGATAGAATAAGTATATTCGGCACTATGCATTATTCAGCTACAATTAATTGCTACACGAGTTCTTAACGAAAAAAACGAGAGCGAAGCTTACCGAGAATTAATTAGATCTA